AGATGGGGTATTTTTATACAATGGAGTACTACTCAGCTATAAAGAATGATACACTTGAAGCATTTATATTTAATTGGATGCCACTTGAAGATACACTCATAAGTGAAACAAACCACACACACGTGTAAATATTATATAGTCTTCCTACTACAAGAACTCAAAAGAAATACAAATAGAAAGGTATTAGCACAATTAAAAGGAAAGTGAGAACTTGAGGATTAGACAATGAAGAGAGAGTAAGGATTAAAGCTAGGAAACATGACAGCAGCAAAGCCATACATTTATATGTATAAGACAGATAAGGCAATGATCCTGAGAATCTTCAGGTTATCAAAGCAAGCAGTTAATTGGCAGGATTCTCACCCTAACTAAATAGGCTGATACCTGTGAACTAAGCAACTGCACTGAAGATGGTAATATGTAATAGTAGGATCATGCTTTGAGTGCCTGTCATTCTGGTCTTCTGAATACGTGCTGCTTGTCATGACATGCCAGTTGCTGCTGTGCTGTCTCTCGGGTAAATGTTTCTTTAAAAAGGAAGGGGATGGTAAATGAAGGCAGGAGACTGGAAAAGGGGTGTTGTGGGATTGTCCTGCTACAATGTTGTACATGATTAGATTTCTAAACTTGTGTGTAAAAATACGTAATTGTTTATTCCTGTATTTTTTTAAATATATTTTAATTTTTTAAATTTTTTTTGCCATATTCTGTAGAGACTTAAAATTTCACATATCAATATTTGATGAAAAATACCTGTTCCATGTTATGCCTAAGATGTCTGATATTCAGGCAGACAGTGAGATTAAGCGCACCTGCCTAGGTTGTAGGGTAATAACAATAAGCTTCTCTTCTGGAGGGTTAAAAACCTAAGTTTGCAGACCAAAAATTAGAGAAAAAGGAGGGCTGTAAGGACAGCCAATAGTTTAGCCCTAGCCTTTCAAGGTCAGTGAAGACTCAGGACATATGAGAACTTGTACTGTAACATCATGTAACTCAGTTGTGTCCCAAATTTTCTGATCAAAGAGATTATGAGGCCACAGGGGAAAGTGATCGATGATGTAGAGTGTGCCTAAGGAGAGTCACATGGAGGGAAAAATTCTCTCTGGCTTTCACAGAGCAAATTGGTCAAGCAATGAACGTGAGTAATTCACATGGCTGACACGACGAAGGACCTACAAACTGCGGTACAGGGTTTCAGGATAAATCCTGAGGGGATATGACTGACCTTATCAAATACAAAAGCTACAGTTCTTGTTATATAGGTCTTTTTTTATCTTGGTCTTAACCACCCAGCAGGAAAGTATAAAAACGGGGTATAAAATGTAAAGCCATATTATTATGCTGAGCTGTAAAAGGCTCAAGTCAACAACTTCTGACATTGCCAGTCATATGGAAACCCACTACTATTACCAACTACTAGAGTATTTTGGAATATCTTGCTGAATTCACACACCTATAATATTTAAAAGACAAAACTAAACAAAAAAGGGGATACAAATGACTATTTTGTATCTGTATATTCAAAATAGGATAGATACACAACCACATTCTCTTAATTCAATGAATAGAAAGATTTGTTCTAAAAGTGTCTGTGAACAGGATATTATGTCTGCATCTTGTACAATGAATAACCACTAACAAAACAATATGCAATCTACTAATTATTGAAACGGTCCTACTAATTTGATTTGAAACTGTCTCCTTGCTATTTGTTTCTCAATAAAATTATGGGAAAAAAAGAACATAAAGAATCAATAGTTAATTCTCACAGAATTTAAAAACTATTATTGCAAGACTACATCAAAGCTATATAAAATTTTTAAGTAATTTCAATGAAACTTTTTTCAGTCTCAATTATTTTCTTACTCCATTTCTTAATAATAAATGTAAGAGATTTTAATTAAATCCCTGCAACTATATTGGTAAGCTAATGAAAAACAAGATTATGTTATTAAGGTAGTTGTCAAAGAACAAACTAGCTTTATTTACAAGTTGAGAGTCTAAACTGAAAAAAATCATTAGTTATTTTTTAAGTGTAAAACTAAGAAATTAATATTAGTTTTATTCACTGTTAAAAATAATGTATGACATGGTAACATTTTCATATTAAGAGTCAATCAGGGGGGCGGGTGCCGTAACGCGGCAACCTGGGCAGGCGCGGCGCCCCTGTGAGAGCCCAGGGCGCCCTCGCGTCCGAGGTGATGGTAAAGGGCTGATCAGTTGCTACTGAGCACAGTTGAAGCAAAACAAGATGTTAGCAAACTCTTCAGGACAAGGTTTTCAAAACAAAAATAGAGTTGCAATCTTAGCAGAGCTGGACAAAGAAAAAAGAAAATTACTTATGCAGAACCAATCTTCAACAAATCATCCAGGAGCTAGCATCGCGCTCTCCAGGCCCTCTCTGAACAAGGACTTCCGGGATCATGCCGAGCAGCAGCATATTGCAGCCCAGCAGAAGGCAGCTTTGCAGCATGCTCACGCACATTCATCTGGATACTTCATAACTCAGGACTCTGCATTTGGGAATCTTATTCTCCCCGTTTTACCACGCCTTGACCCAGAATGAAGAAAATATCTGTGATGAAAGTGACTGTAGTTCCAAAGGCCAAAGCTACTCATTCACTGCTGTACAAACTGACTTTCAGAATTCTGGTGAATGTACATATTTTTTGCTTCCTTAAGAAAGGAGAAAGTAAGTGAAAGCGAGGAGAAGAGGAGCAGGATGACTGACACGTGGAAGCTGTCTCATTGAGGAATTGATGATGCTGCCCTGGACAACTTGTGTGTAACACCATTTGGTTTTTACCTCTAAATCTGATAGTCACATAAAATGAGGCTCCACACCAACAAGTTGGGCTGAGAATACCGTCTACAGTTAGTTTTCAAGAGCCATTTCTAGTACTTACTTTAAAAAAGGATTTTAAAAAAAAATAGGATTTTTTTTAAAAGTTGATTATTAGCTTAAGAAATTCATATATATACTTTATCCTTTGGATTTAGGGTCAGCATATCATGCAGAAATATTCTTTGTGAACTCCTAGTTCACAACTAGTCCCCTGTTGTCCATTTTAAAAGAAAGCCCAAACTAAGTTACTAACCAGTCTTAATTTCTTTTATAAACAAATGCCGTTATAAATGATGTAACTAAATGTTATTAAAAACAAGAAATGTGGTGGGCTCAAAAAAAAAAAAAAAAAGAGTCAATCAGTAGGGGCCGGGGAGATGGCTCAATGGAATAAACGCTTCCCTGGCAAGCACAAGGGCCTGAGTTCAATCCCCGGTTCCACAAAAAAAAAAATTAAAAATTTAAAAGAAAAAAAAAAAAAAAAGAGTCAATCAGTAGCCCAAATGTTTCAGTTGGGTGGAAACCAGAGTTTAGAAAGAAATCACAACAAAAAAATCCCGTGGGTCTGAAGACACCTTACCTTATCATACTGGCACACGACAACATTTTCCGTGTCAAAAAGCTCCTGTCCTTCCTCATCACTCACATCATCTTCACTGTTGAGGGGCTCCTACAGGTGAGAAGAAATTAGTAAATACATTTCTCGTGTTGCTAATAAGATTCTTTTAATATTCAAAGAAAACAATGACCTTGATATTCTTTGAGAAGCAAGCATCAAATGCACATTTATATCTACCACAGAGACAGTACAGTGGTATTACTAATCAGCTGTCATCTAATGATTTTCTAATGTTAGTCAAGTTTCAGTAAGACAAGTTTTTCTTTTTTTAATGTATTTAGTAGAAAGTCTCACTACACAGATCGGACTCATAGTGTTCCTCCTGTTTTCAGCTTCCCAAGTGCTGGGATTACAGGTGCATGCCACCACATCCAGTCTCAAGCACTGTCTCAGTATGCCCCGGGGGTGAGGCTGGCATAGCACGCCAGGGGGAATCGAACCCTGGACCCTGCATCCGCCTCAGCAGGCGCTTTAATCCACTGAGGTATCTGGCCAGCTCTTGGTAAGAAATTAAATGTAGTTAAAACAGTTTAAATACGGAAGGCTTAATGTGATGACAGGAGGTAATGGTGTTACATATTAAGGTAAGACCTGCTGGTGAAACAAGATGCAGAGTGCAGTAACTTTGCTATCTGGTTTGGCACTTCAACAACCAGGTATCTGAACAAAATTAACACCATTCACCATTATGACGGTTATGGAGGCATGAAGTGAAATTACGATTCTATTAAGAGAACAAAGGGCCCAAATAAACCCAACTAGAGCATAAAATAACCAATTATGTTACATTATAATTCTTTTTTTGGGTGTGTGTGTGTGTGTGTATGTGTGTGTGTATAAACGTTTTTATTTTTCAGAGATAAATTGCCAAAACTATAATTTCTGTTATGAGATAATTGTTACATTATAATTCTGCTGTAGTAAAAGAAGAAGGATTTAAGTCAGATATCTAATAAATGGAGAAAAAAAAAATCAGACAAAACAAGTAGAAAGGAAAATGAGAGGATGGTTAAGACCAGGTCTATGGCCACCCACAAGCATGCAAGGACATGGACTTAAACATCAGTGTCACCAACGTATAACGGAAAGTGACACATCATTCACGTGTACCAATTAACATTTCATGAAGTCCTAGAAGAAAATTTCCAACCCAGCATAAACTATCAAAACTTGATGAAGAAATTAGGATATTCTATGACCAAGAACACTAAGAAATTCACGAACACCACACTAGCGCTCTAAAATGTACTCAAGAATATCCTAGATACAAACAACAGAGATAACGAAGCCAAAATGTCACAGAGAATGAATACATAAGTAGTTAAGCAAAAAGGGACAAGATAAAGGAATCAACAACACAAAAAAAGAACACATGACAGGGGACCTGCCCAGTAGCTCAGGTGTTTAAGTGCCTGCTTAAACAAAGCCCTCAAGCTCAAGCTTCTGGGATTCCAACCCAGACAGTCACTGCAAACCAGAAATGCCCTAAAGGCATTTCCACCCTCCCAAAAAAAAAAAAACCCTTCTACCAAGAACACATGACAAACGTCAGCAATTTTCAGTAATAATTCTCAATATGTAAGACCTGAATTCCCAATTATAAAAGACAAGGACTGACAGACTGGATCAAAAAACAAGGCTCAATGCCGCAGTCAAGAAATTCATCTAATTCAAAAAGAAATTCACAGATCAATAACAAGTGAGAGTGAACAAGCTCAATGGTTTGGAAAAATAAGTAAACAGATGAACAAAACAAGGTATCAGTTACACTTCCATCTTTGAACAAACCAACTTAATATTTATCCATTGTTTTACCTAACTATAACAGAATGTACATTCTTCTCAATGCCATAAGGAACTTTCTCCAAAACAGACCACATCCTAGTCCATAAATCCTGCTTAAAGAAACACAGAAGAAAAAAACAAAACAAAATAGGGGAACTGGGGAGATGGCTCAATGGAATAAGCGCTTCCCTGGCAAGCGCAGGGGCCTGAGTCCAATCCCTGGCTCCGCAAAAAAAAAAACAAAAAAAAACCAGAAGAACTGAAATTATTCCCTGTATACTATATCATAATGAATTCAAACTACAAATCAATCACAAAAGAAATCACAGAAATTTTACAAACACTTAATTATTAAGTAACATACTCCTGAAAACTCAAGGGGTCAGAGAAGTCAAGGAAAAAAATGAACAATTCCTAGAATCAAAAAATAATCAAAATAACAGATCACAGAAGAGCAACTGAAAAAGACTTTTCTCAGAAATAGAAATGCCCAGTACCTGAAAACCCTTCAACATCACTGGCCATCAGCAATGCAAATTTAAACATCACTGAGATTCCCTTTTACCCCAGAAAGAATGGCTATCAAGAAACCAGATAATAATAAATGCTGGAGAGGTTTTAGGGAAAACAAACCCTGGTCCATTGTTGGTGGGCATGTAACTCAGAGCAGCCACTACAGAAATTGGTATGGAGTTTCCTCAAAAAGCTCATACTAGAAATTCCCTTTGACTGTGCTATTTAACTTCTAGGTATCTTTCTGAAAGAGTTGACACCACAGTATAGTGATAATGGATACGCATGTTTATAATACACAACTTCCCACAGCAAAATCTGGGAAGTGGACTATATGTCCATCAATAGATGAACTGGTGGGCTGGCCAAATAGTTCAGAGGACTGAAACACCTACAAGCAGACACAGGGACCAGGAGTTCGATCCCCAGGCCTGCCATGCTAGCCCCGCCCCTGGGGCACGCTGAGATGGCAATTGAGACTGGGCATGGTAGTGCACGCCTGTAATCCCAGCTCTTGGGCGGCTGTAAACAGGAGAATCACTATGCATCCCATCTGTGCAATGAGACCCTGAACACCCTGTAGACCCTTCCCTAAAATTCAAAAACAAAAAACAAAGCCCACTTATTTGGGGCCAGGGAGATAGCTCAGTAGAATAAGTGCTTGCCTGGCAAGCGCAAGATCCTGAGTTCAATCACCCGTCCCGCAAAAAAAAAAAAAAAAAAAAAGGGAACTAGTAAAGGAAATGTATTTATACCCAATGGAGTACTTCTCTGTCATAAAAAGGATAAACTTGAGTTATTTGTAGGAAAATAAATGCTCCATGACACAATAATGTTAAGTGAAATAAATCAGACATGCAAGTTTAAATATCACAGATTTTTAAAAATAAGAAACCCAGACTATAAATAATTTAAAGAGTAAAAGACAGATACATAGGCATCTTTGGATATTTGAGGAAACAGGGAAATAGGTCTTTTGCAGTTGGGAAGAGGACCAACACATGGAAGGGGGAGGAAGAGGGAGGCATGGGGAGTAAAAAAATTAAAATATATACGCCAATTCCCCACAATGAATGTAATCACCATGGAGTGCAAATAAGTGTTAATAAAAATTTAAATTAACCCAAACAGAAAAATCGTTGAGGGGCTGGGGAGATAGCTCAGTAGAATAAGCACTTGCCTGGCAAGTGCAAGGGACTGAGTTCAATGCCTCATTCTGCCAAAAAAAAAAAAAAGAAAAATCATTGATAAAGGAAGTGTTCAATAAAAAAATCGACATATAAATATTTTTGTCACAAGACCCTATCCTTCACTTGCAGAGAAATTTATTAGTTTTCAAAAATTACAATCTGAAAAGATATTACATGCAAAAATATGCTGCTAAATTCAATTTATACTGAGGAACGTTTAATGGATTCTATTATAAAAGCTAACAGTAAATCTAACTGCAAAAACTTCAAAATCATTTACTGAGCATTTGTTTTTTAAGCAATGTTAAAGTATGCACATATAAGCTGAGTATGGTAGAACACACCATACTCCAACGTATTTATAATACAATGGAGTAATCCCAGCACTTAGGAGCCTGAGAGGATAGCCACAATGTCAAGCCAGCTAGATTATATGGTGAGATCAAAGCCAGCCTGAACTAAACAGCAAGACCCAGTCTCAAAAAAAAACCCCAATATGTTCCCCTATAAACTGTCCTGATAAAAGACAAGATTCTTCTAAAATCACCTTGTCAAAAAAATAAATAAATAAATAAAAATTAAAAAAATAAAATCACTTTGTCTCCCCAGACCACAGTTGGGTGAACTGAAGAAACAAGACAATAAATGAAGAGATTTGGAAAGTGAAGTTGCAAATTTCGTATTTTATGCTTTGTCATAGATGATAGTAATGATACTACCAATACAATTCAACTTACCATTTTATTAAAGGTACTTAAACAAATACAATGTCACCAAAGAAATGGCTCTTTC